AATGTGAGCATTAAAACTTGGCCACTGTGTTCACGGTGAGTCAGTCAGTGCCTTCCCCTTGCTCTTGGCCTGTGTTTCATGATGGCAACTGGGGGCCCTTGTGTATATATACCATATTTTCTTTATCCTTAAAATTTTGAAGTGTAAAAGTTTTGAATTTTGATGAGCTCCATTTTATCAATTTTTCCAAAAACAAATCCTTATATTTAGAGTCAATTGACTTTTGAAGTGTAAAAGATTTCAATTTTGATGAGGCCCATTTTATCATTTTTTCCAGAAACAAATCCTTATATTTAGAGTCATCTGACAAATGCAATTCACTGAGGGGAAAACGGTCTGCTCAACAAATGGTGCTGGTACAACTGGATATCCACACATGAAAAGATGAATTTAAACTCTCATTTCACACTACACAAAAATTAACTCAAAATGACTCACAGACTTAACTGCAAGAATTAAAACAATAAAGCCTTTATAAAAAAACTTGGAAATTTTCAAGATCCTGAGTTAGACAAATGCATTTTTCATCTATTCCTGAACTTTTATCCCAATTAAACATCATATATGTGTATGTCACGTTTATAACGCAGGTAGATAAAAATATAGCCCCCTTCAGTAAAAATGATAAAATATTTCACTGAGTTTGGTGGCCAAAATTTGAATTAGCAATTACATGAAAATGTTAAGAGAAGGCCAGGTGTGGTGGTTCATGCCTGTAATCCCAGCACTTTGGGAGGCCAAGGCGGGCAGATCACGAGGTCAGGAGTTGAGAACAGCCTGGCCAATATGGTGAAATCCTGTCTCTACAAAAAATACAAAAATTAGCCGGGCGTGGTAGCACGCAACTATAATCCCAGCTACTCAGGAGGCTAAGGCAGGAGAATCGCTTGAACCCGGGAGGTGGAGATTGCAATGAGCCGAGATAGTGCCATTGCACTCCAGCCTGGGCATCACAGTGAGACTCCATATCAAAAAAAGGAAGAAAATGTTAAGAGAAAATATGCAAGCAATAAGTCATAACCCAGCCAGAATAGAATATATATAGCTTAGCAGGTAGAACTCAAGACAAAGGCATGCAAATAGTGCATTAAACTCTTCTTCAAATACTATACAATGTGTGTACCCATACTTGAGGCTAAAAACTGTTGATTACAGATAGTCACTGACTGCAAATTAAGATTAGGGAGAAAACAATCTCCTATAGAAAGGCGAACCTCAATCAGTCAGTTAAGGAGGTACTGCACATGCTAATATTTGTGATGGTATCATAATGCCAACATGAAATTTCTACAGTCGATTATGTTCAAGTGTCAGAAGAAAGAAATTATTGAAGAGTCTATAAACATAATTCATTAATACAAAATTTTAGATACAAAGCATCACTTATAAAGGCACTTTCTTTTATTAAATTTTCTAAGTTGCATCTGAAATTGTTAATAACTAATTTTCATGGTCAAATTACCACTTACATCCTCACAGGGACACAAAAGAATGTGAGCATTAAAACTTGGCCACTGTGTTCACGGTGAGTCAGTCAGTGCCTTCCCCTTGCTCTTGGCCTGTGTTTCATGATGGCAACTGGGGGAGCGTTTGCTAAAGCCTGAATCTTGATTTCCTCTTTCAAAGCAAAATTTGTTTACAAAGTATATTTTCTGGTATAATTAAAATTGTATTACTTCTTATTAACATTTTAATATCTTGTTGTTATTTTCAGGTACAACTGCTTATTTACATACCTATCTCTCCCTCTTAGGAAAGGTTACATGTTTTATTGTTCTTTTTCTTTTGTTTTTTTCAGACAGGGTCTGGCTGTGTTGCCCAGGCCAGAGTGCTGTGGCAGTATCTCAACTCACTGCAAGAGCACCCGGCTAATTTTTGTATTTTTAGTAGAGACGTGGTTTCACTATGTTGCCCAGGCTGATATCGAACTCCTGAGCTGAAGGGATCCACACGCCTAGGCTTACCTACCAAAGTGCTGGGATTATAGGCATGAGCCACTGTGCCTGGCCCTGTTTTATTGTTCTTTAATCCCTTATATTATTTTTTTTCTTTTGAGACAGAGTCTCATCCAGGCTGGAATGCAGTGGCACAATCTCAGCTCACTGCAACTTCCACCTCGTGGTTGTGTACAAGCAATTCTCATGCCTCAGCCTCCCAAGTAGCTAGAATTACAGGCGCATGCCACCATGCCTGGCTGATTTTTGTATATTTGATAGAGACGGGGTTTCGCCATGTTGGCCAGATTGGTCTCGAATTCCTGACCTCAAGTGATCCACCCACCGTGGCTTCTCAAAGTGCTGGGATTACAGGCGTGAACCACCATGCCCAGCCATGAATGTTTTTTAAGTCATTGCAGACATCAGTCGAGTACTGAAACCCTGCCTTATAGCATCTGATAAGGTTCTTAAAACAAAATAAACACTTGATACGTTTTTGTTGTAATGAAGTAAATCTTAGCTTTTAATACTGTGGTTTTAAAAATTATATTTCACAGCATAACGTATACTATGGGATCAATCAAATTACAAAAATGGTATTCTAAGAGAGACATACAGGTGTGTCATTAATGTAATGAAGGCTATTCTTTCAATGGCCAGAGCCAAATGCTAACTTGTTTCTTTCTTGAATACGTAGTGACACTATGTTCTCTCATTTATTCTAAACAGAAGTGGTCTATTCTCTCAGATCAGAGCCTCTATCTAAATCTCCCGCGCAATTTAAAAGCCAAACTTTTTACAATCCAGGAAGAGGTGGGCTTAGCTTAGTACAGGCACATAGCAAGAAATGTCCCAAAGAAAGTTAGCCTTATTATCATTGCTGCTGCTGCTAATATATTCCAATAATCACTTCTATCTTGAAAATAAATAGAAACAATTGACCAGCTCATCACAATTTCACATTAATTTGAAAGAGGTATGCTATGTAGCAAATGGAGACCACCTTCTTCTCAATTTGTGGTTAACACTGGCAAAGTACATATGCTATGAAGTTTGTGTATCAGACGAGTAAAATGTACTCCACAAAAAACAAGTGAACTGAAAAAAAATTCACAAAGTCTTTTAAAATACTTTCCTTCTTGCCTAAGATATAACCAAGGCTGGTTCTGAGTAATTTTCTCAAATACTATCTGCAGTGATCTCTTCAGGTAAAGCCCTCCAGCCCTTTGGCCACCTGGAACCATGAAGTTCCACCTGGAATTTTATCTTGGCCTCAGGGCCTGGGCCGGTGCTCTATGCTGGAGGAATTTTTAGAAGCCTCAGACTAGTAGCTTATCTGCTCAGTACGATCAGTCATTCTGCTGATCCTGTCCTGATATTGTGACCTAGTTTCAGGCACTAAGATTTTATCTAGTTACTCATAACCAGTGCCTCTTTTGTACCACTAGAAACTAGATCCTGGGTTCATCCGTTGTGATCCACAATCCTAGCTTGGGACCTTGTTTTGTATCCCAGTTGGTGCACTACTCCCTATGATGTTCTGTGGGCTTAGCTAGAGCCCTACCCTGGAACTCCAGTCTTCATGACTGTGTCTCCAGTACTTGCCACTGGATGGCTATGATGCAGACTTCCCTCGTGTCTGGATTTCCACTTACTGCCTACTGTCAGTCTCCCCCTAGAATAATGTCCTAGGCTTCAGCTAAATTTCCTACCACTGTCAGGACTGTGAGGACTTGGGTTCTGGTCATTCACGGATTAACCCATCTCAAGGCTGAGTTCTAATTCTAATAGTAACACAAGTAATACCTTTATTTTGAAATCTCTCTATTCAAACCAGCCAGCAGTAAATATATACTTTAAAAAGCCTCATTAAATATACATGTGATGCTTGAAATGCCAAAAGAAAAATACCCCATACCTGTCTGAGTGAATCCTGATTTGTATCCATTAGTTGTCCCATTTTCTGGGGTCACAGTTGATGACACTGAAGAGCTTGGTTTAATAGAGTGGCAAGAAGCAGAGGATTGTCGGCTTCTACATTCTGGAAAAGAGTAAAAATTACACTGTATGAAGTGACCAATGTTCTGTTAAAACAGGTGATGGGGACACAATCCATAAAATCTCTAAATTAAATTGCTGCTCCTTAAGTGGCAGCCACTTCTCTAATTAGAGATCCCCTTCCCCATCCTGACTCCAGCAGAATGTTTAAACTAGTGAATACAACGCTTTTGTTTGGAAGACAAAGAAATGGTTGCAAAGAAATTGGACCTTTGTTCCCTAAATACTAGTTCCCAGAGGAAATATACTCATAACCAATATAGTCATGCTAGTTTTATGGGTAAGACAGAGGCTAAAACATTAATAATTTATGAAAACCTAATAGGCCTTTCAATACCAGTTAACACCCTACCTGGGATTGGTTTAAGTGTAGAACAGTAACCTATGGTCTGTCTAGGCTGCCTATAACCTTCTCTTCTCAACCTTAATTTAGGTCCAAAAACAGAAGCAAAGAAAAATGTATAGGCAGTAGAGAAAAATTTTAAATGCTCAAATTAATATTATTCTCAGTTCTTATTAAAGGAGACAGCCACTATTCAAAGTGGTTACTGATCATGCTATGCCAAGCTTCATTTTAAGTAAGCCAGTATTAATGGGCCTCTGGGATGATATTTTATTAGTGCTTTGTACTGATTCAGGTAGATAGTAAATACTATCACAGCCTATGGGACTGTTAACTTCCAACCAAATTTTACCCTATTAGTCTCAAAAAGTAGCATGTGAAAAAGGAATATAAATAATTTTATACGACAAAGTTAATTACAGAGGGTCCTTTAGAGTGTCTCCAAGTTTATCAGATACATACAATGACTGGAAGCAGTTTTCTATAACCTTCTATGCTATTACCTTCTATGAGGAGTACTGTATTCTGGCCTAAGAGCATATCTCCAATATGTAATACATGCACATATGTATATTGATATTATATGTATGTATATATAAATTATACAAATAAATATAATTTCAGCTCCAAAATAGCAACTATTATAAACGTGAGGCTTCTCTCACAAATGTTATTCTTTATTAGAAAAATGAGGCCAGGCATGGTGGCTCATGCATGTAACGCTACCACTTTGAGAGGCCAAAGTGGGTGGATCACTTGAACTCAAGAGTTCGAGACCAGTCTGGGCAACATGGCGAAACCCTGTCCCTACAAAAAATACAAAAATTAGCCAGGTACGGTGGTGTGCGTCTGTAGTCCCAGCTCCTTGGGAGGCTGAGGCAGGAAGATCACTTGAGCCTGGGGTGGGAGAGGTTGCAGTGAGCCACCGCAGTCCAGCCTGGGCAACAGAGTGAGATCGTGTAAGAAGGAAAGAAAGGAAAGAGAGGAGAGGGGAGGGGAGGAGAGGGGAGGGGAGGGGAGAGGAGAGGCAGAGAAAGGGGGAAAGGGGGAAGGGAAAGGAAGGAAAGCAAAGGAAAAGGAAAAAGGAAAGGGAAAGGAAGGAAAGGAAAGGAAAGGAAGAAAGGAAGAAAAAGGGAAAGGGGAAGGAATGAAGGAAGGAAGGAAGAAAAAAAGAAAAGAAGGAAAAGGAAGGAAGGAAGGAAGGAAAGATGAATTGCCACTGAGTACTAACTAAGAAGTTAAAAATATTTTATGCAACCAAAACAAGGCTAAAGAAGGAAATTAAAAGGGAGGAAGGTGATACCTATCCTACTTTTACCCTTTTATTAGGATTCATGACATTCAAAATGATTTTTCTGAGAAAAATCATTTAATAGGACAAAGACTTATTCACCAGCTTATGATTCAGTGGTCACAAGCTTTAAGTTCTGATGATACCTATCTTGGAATATGTACCCATTTCCTAAAGAACTATATAATACTACTTCAAAGGTAACTAAGAGAAATTAAGGTGAAGGACTCAGAAACAAACCTGCAGTTGTAATTTGGAATATTATGCTGTTTTTCATAGTCAGGAAAAAATATTGTACAGACAACAAATAGAAACATTAAAAATAGTTATTATAGGCCGGGCACGGTGGCTCACACCTGTAATCCCAGCACTTGGGGATGCCAAGGCGGGCAGATCACGAGGTCAGGAGTTTGAGACCAGCCTGACCAATATGATGAAACCCCTTCTCTACTAAAAATACAAAAATTAGCCGGGTGTGGTGTCACACGCCTGCAATTCCAGCTACTCAGGAGGCTGAAGCAGGAGAATCGCTTGAACCTGGGAGGTAAAGGTTGCAATGAGCCAAGATCTCACTGCTGCACTACAGCCTGGGCAACAGAAGGAGATGCTGTCTCAAAAATCCAAAAAAATATATATATATATATACACACACACACACACATACACATAAACACAGTTATTATAGGCTGGGTGCGGTGGCTCACGCCTGTAATCCCAGCACTTTGGGAGGCCGAGGTGGGCGGATCACAAGGTCAGGAGATTGAGACCATCCTGGCTAACATGGTGAAACCCCGTCTCTACTAAAAATACAAAAAATTAGCTGGGCGTGGTGGCGGGCGCCTGTAGTCCTAGCTACTCGGCAGGCTGATGCAGGAGAATGGCATGAACCTGGGAGGTGGAGCTTGCAGTGAGCCGAGATTGTGCCTCTGCACTCCAGCCTGGGCGACAGAGCGAGACTCCATCTCAAAAAAAAAAAAAGATAGTTATTATATGGAGAAAAAAATCTCAGCATCTAAGAAACCGATCAATAGAATAACAATTAAATACTTCTTTTCTTTAGCACAGTGAAGAGAACTTCTATCAATTCCTATCAAGCACATGAAGATGTGAAGTTTCAACTGGAATCATTTCTATAAATAAGTTAAGTTCTTCCTAATTTATAAGAAATAACACTTTGCCAACTTAATAGTGTATTTTCCCAGGTATTATGAAGAGAACATAAATGTTTATTCTAAGTATGTTTAGCTCTAGTTAAAATAGAAAAAAAATATGGATGTTCGAAAATCTCCAAAGAAATTAAATAGAGTCAAAAGGGCATCTAACCAAGGAGCTGTCACTCTGAGGTCCTCTCTAAATGACGGAAGAGCTAGAAAAAGTCCATTTTTCCCCTTGAGAGCTGTACCCCCTTCCCAAGAGACAAATACAGAGACATGCACTTTCCTACACTTGAATTGTCTCTGTTAAAAATGTAAGGGGCAAGTCAAGTAACACACCAGAAGGCTTTAAATTTTTGGATATCCTTCTGAACTTGAGATGTTTATCTGTATCCCACCTGAACTCCGAATCTTGTATGGGTCACTTGTCACCACTCTAAAATCTCCATTCCCTCCCCTTTTCTTCCTGGAAATTGACTACCTTTCCAGCAGATAAGAGGTCCCTTAGACAGTACACCCTGGGAGCTTCTGACTAGGTAGTACTTTAAGTGCTTCTGCTTCTTTGGCTGAGTGGTGAGCTTCAAGTTAATGTGGTTGGAAAATTCCGTGAAATATCGAAATCCTCTTTCTCCACAGCCGATACAATTTCCAGAAAACCCTGAAGTGAGGAAAACCAATGTTACTAATGGCCTTGTAAGTTGATACAATACTTTTATGTATTAAACAGCATAGAAACGTTCACATTCTTTGACCCAAAAATGTCTCAATCTCAAGGAAATAATTCAGAGGGAAAAAAAACAGGTACACATTTCTTTAGCAGAGTTATTTTGTAACAGTGAAAGACTGGAAATAATTTAAATGCTGCTCTAAAAGGAAAGGAAAGGTTAGCCTCTAAAAGGTTAAGGAAATAGGGTTGATAAATACAGTAGATAATGGTTAAGGAAATAGAGCACATAATATAATAAAAAGCTTGGTTCTAGAATGTCTATTATTTCTTCCCCACATACTCCTTCCTTAGATAACCTGGTTCTCTGCCCTCTCTACCACTCAGACTTGCCTCCATGGTCACAGCTGGTGAGCTTGTGGCCCACCATCTGACCCAGTCTGGGACAGTCAGAATCTCTCTCCTGGAATTTTGAAATAAATACAAAAAGTCAGGCAGGTGGTACTGGACCCTGGATTTGTAAGGTTTTACAGAATTGGAATCCCAATTAGGGTTATGTCAGCCACAGGTAAGCTAGGGTATGGGAACCAAGAACCATGAAGAGGAAGCTGATCTGCCAAGAGGAGAGCAGAGCACGGGCCAGATGTGCAAATTCAGGGCTCTATCAGCTTCTAGTTTCTGTGAGATCTAGCTATACTTTCCGACAGGAGTACCATGAGATTCCCATTTCTCCTTTTCTAACACTTCTTTATTCATACTAGCTTATTATTCCTTTAGATCTAATATCCAAATAATTCCACTCAGACAAATTAAACAAAACAAAAATGTTGGTGACCTGGTTAGAACAGGGGACACGGAAAAAAGAAGAAACAGAGAAAACTGGGAAGATGAAAAGCCATGCCTTTTTTTTTTTTTTGCCATGCCTTTTTTTATTGAAAATTAACTTTTCAGTCTTAATACACAGACTAAAAACAGACAGTAAGAGTGTGGTTCTTCTTGTTGGTTGGGTCTGGATAGAGGACATAACACATTTACTGTGACATAGAGTGAAAAGCACAAAAATGGTTTGTAATAAGAAGGCATATCCATATTTGTTATAAAGCAATATTTC